CAGCTGCCCTAGGTGCTAGTGCGTCTGTGCCCCCTGGTACTGAGTCGACTGCAGCACTGCACACCTTCACACTGGACTCAGGTGCTTCTCGCTCTTTCTTTCGTGACCGCACTGTCCTTGAGCCACTAGCTCGGCCGGTTGCTGTCTCTCTTGCTGACCCCTCAGGGGGTCCGGTCATTGCGACCTCCTCCACTACACTTCCGTGTCCAGCGGTTCCGTCTGGCATGCTCTCAGGTCTCTACCTCCCCTCGTTCTCTACGAACTTGGTGGCGGGCTGTGCTCTGCAGGACGGGGGTGTTCACCAGTTCACCCCTGCCTACGAGCGTGTGACACATTGCACGTGTGCTCGGACGGGCCGCCACCTGGCTACTTTCACTCGGGAGCCGGGGTCGGACCTGTACACACTGACCACTGAGTCCCCTCAGGTAGCTGCGTCTGCGTCTGCGTCTGCGTCAGGTCAGCTGTCCGCCCCCTGCTCGTGTCGCTCTCTGGCGCATGAGACTGTCCTCTGGCACCACCGCCTTGGTCACCCGTCTGTGCAGCGCCTTCGGGCCATGCACAAACGGGACCTTGTTGCTGGTCTTCCCAGGGTGCTCCCTCCCCTTCCCGACTCCCCTGCTCCTGACTGCATTCCCTGTGTCGAGGGGCGGCAGCGCGCCGCTCCTCACTCCTCCTCCTTTCCCCTGACGACTGCTCCCTTGCAGACGCTCCACATGGACGTGTGGGGCCCAGCCCGCGTCCGTGGTCAGGGTCAGGAGAGGTACTTCCTGATAGTTGTTGACGACTACTCGCGCTACACCACGGTCTTCCCCTTGCGCGCCAAGGGTGACGTCCCTGGTGTTTTGATCCCCTGGATCAGCCGAGCCCGTCTCCAGCTAGGCAAGCGCTTTCACTCGGACTTTCCTGTCCTGCGCTTGCACTCTGACAGAGGTGGTGAGTTCGCCTCCGACCTCTTGGCAGCCTACTGTGCTGAGCACGGCATTGAGCAGTCGTTCACGCTTCCGGCCTCTCCACAGCAGAATGGGGTCGCTGAGCGCCGCATTGGCTTGGTCATGGAGGTCGCTCGTACCTCCCTGACCCATGCGGCTGCTCCCCACTTTCTGTGGCCGTTTGCGGTCCGGTACGCAGCGCATCAGCTCAACCTCTGGCCCCGTGTCTCCTTGCCGGAGACTTCCCCGACTCTACGGTGGACGGGAGAGGTTGGCGATGCGTCGCGTTTCCGGGTCTGGGGATCTCGAGCTTTTGTCCGCGACACGTCCGCGGACAAGCTCTCGCGTCGCGCTGTTCCCTGTGTCTTTCTTGGCTTTGTTCCCGACGCGCCTGGATGGCAGTTTTACCACGTCACCTCGCGCCGGGTTCTGGCCTCTCAGGACGTCACTTTTGACGAGTCCGTCCCCTTCTACCGCCTCTTCCCCTACCGCACTGCCCCGCTCCCCCCCCCGCCTCTCTTCCTCGCTCCAGGTGCTGAGGTACCAGACCCCCTCCCCCCTCAGGGTGCCGCTCCCTCAGGTGTGTCCCAGGTAGACCCAGGTGAGCCTGTCGAGGTAGCTGTTGACTCGCGTCCTGCGTCTGGGGGTGCTGAGCCTGGGAGTGCTGCGTCTGAGGGTGCGGAGCCTGGGGGTGCTGAGCCTGGAGGTGCGGAGCCTGGGGGTGCTGAGCCTGGAGGTGCGGAGCCTGGAGGTGCGGAGCCTGGAGGTGCGGAGCCTGGAGGTACTGAGCCTGGGGGTGCTGAGTCTGGACGTGCTGAGTCTGGGGGTGCTGAGTCTGGGGGTGCTGAGTCTAGGGGTGCTGAGCCTGAGCGTGCTCCACCTGGAGGAGCCCTCTCCTCCCAGCAGCTGCAGGAGAGGTACCTCGAGTACTGCCGCCTCCGGAGAGGTGCTTCTGGAGCTCGTCCCGGTACTTCCCCTCCTACCCAGGAGCTCCCCCCCATTCAGGTGATCCGCGAGTGGTACACGCGGCGCTGCAGTCTTCGTAGTGGTGCTCCTGGTGCTGCGGACCCGAGCGGTGGTGCTGTTGCTGGTGCTGAGGACCCGGACGCTGGAGCTGCTGCTGGTGCTGAGGACCCGGGGGCTGGAGCTGCTGCTGGTGCTGAGGACCCGGGCGTTGGAGCTGCTGCTGGTGCTGAGGACCCGACCGGTGGCGCTGCTGCTGGTGCTGAGGACCTGACCGGTGGCCCTGCTGCTGGTGCTGAGGACCCGGGCGTTGGAGCTGCTGCTGGTGCTGAGGACCCGACCGGTGGCGCTGCTGCTGGTGCTGAGGACTCGGGCGTTGGAGCTCCTACTGGTGCTGAGGACCCGGGCGTTGGAGCTGCTGCTGGTGCTGAGGACTCGGGCGTTGGGGCTGCCACTGGTGTCCCTGCTGCTTCTGGAGACGCTGCGCGGCCGCGACCGTACTTCGTACCGCTCCTTCAGCAGGTTCTTGGTCAGGCTCCTCCTCCTAGTCCTCCTCCCTCCGTCGAGTGTCCTCTGCCTGTCCAGCCGCAGTCACAGTTACCGCCTGCCTCGCCTCTCCCTGCTCCCTCTCCTTACGCTGGTCCCACAGGAGGTCTTACAGAGCGTCGTGAGCCTGAGTCTCGTCCTGCGTCGCCTGTTCGTACTGCTCGCACTGGTCGTCGTGTCCCACGTGAGCGTCCTCCTCCTGTCCCTGGCACTCACTACATGACTCTGCGTCCCTCCACTGCTCCGCAGCGTGTCCCGCTGCCGTCTCCTCCTGCGTCCTCTCTTCCTACTCTTCCTGACCCGGAGTCTGACTCCCGTCGTGCTGCCAGTCCCACTGTTACGCGTCTCCTCGCTACAGTTGTCACTGACCCTACCTTTGAGTCCTCTGCTGCGTCTGCTCTGGTCGCTGAGTTGATAGACTTTGCTGCCCGGTGTCGTCTCGACTACGCCACTAGCCTTGTTGCTGAGTCCGAGTCTGAGTCTGTCTGTCCTCCGTCCGTCGGGGGTGTGTGTGCTCTTGGCACGGACGTCCTTGAGGACAGACAGGAGGAGTTTCAGTGCTTTGCTGCTGCTCTGCCCCATGTCGTGTCCATGCTAGTTGCCCCTGAGGGAGACCCGGATGCACCAGACATCCCGACCCCACGCTCTTACGCTGAGGCGATGGCGGGTCCCTACTCCTCTCAGTGGCAGACAGCCATGGACGCAGAGATGGCTTCCTGGAAGTCCACACGCACCTACGTAGACGAGGTTCCCCCTCCTGGGGCGAACATCGTCAGTGGCATGTGGATTTTCAGGGTGAAGCGGCCGCCGGGTTCTCCGCCTGTCTTCAAGGCGCGCTACGTGGCTCGAGGCTTCAGTCAGCGAGAGGGAGTAGACTTCTTTCAGACCTTCTCCCCCACCCCGAAGATGACTACTCTTCGGGTGCTGCTGCACATAGCCGCTCACCGCGACTACGAGCTTCACTCTCTTGACTTCAGCACTGCTTTCTTGCAGGGCAGCCTGCACGAGGAGATCTGGCTGCGCCGCCCCCCTGGCTTCACTGGGTCAGTTCCTCCTGGCACCCAGTGGAGGCTTCAGCGGCCGGTCTACGGTCTCCGCCAGGCGCCACGTGAGTGGCACGACACACTGAGGACGACACTTGCGGCTCTTGGGTTCGCTCCCTCTACTGCTGACCCGTCGCTGTTTCTACGCACCGACACCTCGCTGCCGCCGTTCTACATCCTCGTGTACGTCGACGACTTGGTCTTTGCCACTGCTGACACCGCGGCACTCGCCCACGTGAAGTCGGAGCTGCAGAGGAGACACACGTGCACAGACCTGGGTGAGCTGACGAGCTATCTTGGCTTGCGGATCACCCGGGACAGAGCACGGCGCACCATCACCTTGACTCAGTCACACATGGTGCAGCAGGTTCTCCAGCGCTTCCGCTTCACGTACTCCTCGCCTCAGTCCACTCCTCTGCGTACCGGTCACTCGCTCTCAGCTCTGCCTTCGGATGAGTCCGTAGAGCCGAGTGGCCCGTATCCAGAGCTTGTGGGCTGCCTCATGTACCTGATGACCTGCACTCGACCTGACCTTGTATACCCTCTTAGCATCCTAGCACGCTATGTCGCTCCTGGCCGTCACCGGAAGGAGCACATGGATGCTGCTAAGAGGGTGTTGCGCTACTTGTGCAGTACGTCGGGCATGGGGCTTGTGCTTGGAGGGCGAGACCGGGTTGTTCTCACAGGGCACTCAGACGCTTCTTGGGCAGACGACCAGGCTACTCAGCGGTCGTCCCAGGGTTACACCTTCAGCCTTGGCTCTGGCTCAGTTTCTTGGCGTTCTACTCGCTCTTCTTCTGTTCTCAGCTCCAGTTGTGAGGCTGAGATCTACGCCACAGCCATGGCTGCTCAGGAGCTACGCTGGCTGACCTACCTGCTGACCGACCTCGGAGAGCGGCCTCGTTCTCCTCCAGTGCTGTACGTCGACAACAAGGCTGCCATTGCCTTGTGTGAGGAGCACAGACTGGAGCACAAAACGAAGCACATCGCTCTGCGGTACTTCCTTGCTCGAGAGCTGCAGCAGCGTGGTCAGCTTTGTCTGCGTTACGTGGCCACGGAGGCCAACACTGCTGATGTGTTCACCAAGGCGCTTCAGCCTTGTGACCATCAGCGCTTTTGCACTCTGCTAGGCCTTGTACCTACTGGGCCTCACTTGCTTACCTCTTGACCTTGCTTGTACTGTGATCACTATATATATATGCCTACTTGTTTACTTTTGCTAGGTTGTGATCACTGTATCTCTTGCTTTGTTATAAACCTGCATGTGAACTGGTCTTGTGACCGCTTGCTTGTGCTCGGAATTTGTGTGGAATCCTTGAGATCCACCCTGAGCTTGCTTTGCTTTGCTTTGACTGGTCTTGTGACCCTGTGGTTGTCTCCCACTGCGCCTATGGGGGTGTGTCAAACATTGTATGTTTATATTGTGTAGGCTGTAGTGGGTTACACCTTAGGGGGTACACAAAGTTAGGGTTTCCTACTTGTACCAAACTCTGTGCTAGTTCATTTCATTCCTGCTCAGTTATTCTGACAGCCCTTCAATGTATGTGAACACAAAGCTGTAGCGCTTGCGGCGGCCTGTCTTGTCACTTGTGATGTTGGTCCACTGTGCAGGGATGTCTTGGGATGCTCCGGTGCAGGACTTTGCAACACGTATGTTCGGTTCTTTTCCTCCCGTTTTTATGGTTAAGATGGAAATAACGCTTTCGGAATAGTATGTTGTTGCTGAGTACCTGCAGCACGCAAGGCACGGAAGAAAACGACGGATTCAATTATGAGAAAAAACACAACTACGTTGCATCGTACGTTGTTGCTGAGTGTCCCAAGGCTCGAATCGGACAGACAGACGGAAGTGGTGTGAGGGGGAGAGGAAGGGTGTAAGGGGGGAGTGGGGGAGGAGGCACCAGAAGGGGGGGGAAAAAATCTCTTAAAGAATAGTATGTTGTTGCTGAATACCTGCAGCATCCAAGGCACAGATGGAAATGACCTTTGAGTCGACTCAACAACAGGCAAGATGGAGAGAAAAAAACAAAATCAGAATGGTACCGTATGTTGTCGAGCAGAGAGACACCTCACTATCTTGGTGACATGATTCCCTGAGGCACCTTTTGGCGCCGATCACCTTCCCATTGCGTGTAGTGGGACGGAATTAGCCGTGTTTTGAGTCGACTCAAAGACAGGAATCGCACAAGACGCACCTCACAATCTTTCTGACGTATTTCCCCGAGGCACCTTTGTCGCCGATCACCTTCCTATTGAGAGTAGAGGGACGGAATTTTGCCACGTACTTCACTGGCATCGGGATTGGCCGGGCCTAGAGGGAGAGGGGCGCATGGGAAAGATTATATGAGAATTCCCAAAGAAATTTTGCCACGTACTTGACTGGCAATGGTATTGGCCGAGCCGGGAGGGAGAGGGGCGGGCGCATGTGAAAGGCCGCGGAAGGGCAAAAGCAGTATGCTAGCATCAGCGCATGAGACGCCCTGGCCTGGTGGGTCCACTTTTGAGAATTCTCAAATGACAGTGCTGCACGAATATTAGTAGCCGAAACTTGTGCAGGACACTTGTACAAGACGCTCGGGAGGTACGGCAATATGCGGAAAACAAATGCAACACGGGATTAGAAGCAACACGGGATCAGATGCAACACGGGATCAGATGCAACAGATATCAAGAAATAAAATAATTGGCATGAAACCATTCAGAGGAGGAGGAGGAAGTGGCCGCAACTCAGTGCAACTCAGTGCACCTCAGTGCACCTCAGTTCACCTCAGTTCACCTCAGTTCACCTTAGTTCACCTCAGTGCACCTCAGTGCACCCTCAGTGCACCCTCAGTGCACTTGAGTCTTAAAAAAAAAAGCCGCGGGCACTTACAGACTGTTCTCCCTTTCCACACCATCGGCTTGACCGCCGCGGGGGTAGAAACGCCGCCGTGGCTTGAAGAACCCGCGAGGAACGGCGCGAAGATTGGCGCAGACGCGACGGCCGTGAAGAACGCCGCACCTGACGGGGAGAGCAAGAGCAGCGGGCGAGGAGGATTATGAGAGGCGCAGGAGGGAGCAATGTGAGGGCAAGCAGACACGACGAAACCTGCACGACGAAACGTATCAAGACAAAGCCGCCCGCGCCAGCCCCTGGTTGAGATCTGACGTGGCAGCGACGCATTTGGTGCCACGCCGGTAGAGTAGTAGGAGAGTCAAAGGGGCCCGTGGATCCGGGCACTCGTAGGAGAAAAAGCATCGCTGAGTGGTTTCCACGGGTAGGAGAGAAAGCAGTACGAGGGCACTCGATGGGTGAGTGGAGGAGGGAAGTGCTTACAGAGCAGGACGAAGATGAGAGGTGTCGCGCGTTTTGAGACGACTCAAAGACGACTCAAAGACGACTTCTGAGGCGCATCAAAGGAAGTCAAAGGGCTTACAGAGCAGGACGAAGGCGAGAGGTGTCGCGCGCTCCATGAGATGAAAATCTGGCGAACGCCGAGGTCTCAAGAATAATTCTCAAGAAAAACGGCGTGGAGGTCACGAGAATTGTTACTGAGAGGAAGGGCGAATGGTGGCGATCTGAAATGAAAGCCTGGTGCCAATGCTCGTGATGCACGCAATATAACACCGCTCCTGCTCCGTCCGTCCTGCCTGAGAGGCTCATGATCAGCCTGAGAGGGTTCTGTATGTGGGCGTGTCCGCTGGTGCTAACACAAGCGAGGCGATTCGGGGGTGTCACGTTACGAACTTGTGGAGGGGGTGGAGCGCGGCGCGGCGGGGGAAGGAGGGAGGGAGGAGCGCGGCGGCGCATCGACGGTGGCGCATCGTCCCGACTGAGTGGGATGAATTGGAACGTCAACTGCTGTCGTCGCGTAGCGCTACTAGCGCTACTAGCACGGTAGTACCCCGTGGGAAGCGTTGATAATCACTTTTGAGAGAGTGCTATCCGCGTAGCGCCGCTACCCCGCGTGAAGCGTTACACGCGACGAGAGCTGCAACGGAAGGGGCGGCAGTGCTGACGCGTGGCGCCCCTTAGTACTATTCATGCTGGCGCCCCTTAATAATATTCACGCTGGCGCCCCTTAGTACTACTCATCGGTCCGTTCTGGTGGATGGCAAGGGCTTCGGCTCGAGGCCTTTTGAGGCGCCTCGGACTCAGCGTGGCGCCCCTTAGTACTAGTCATCGGTCTGGTGGATGGCCAGGCCAGGGCTCCGACCCCAGGCCCCTGACCGGACAGGGCCTCCTGAACAACGCCCTGGTCTGGGGCATGCGAGGCATAAGGGGGTTCTTCCCTTCGGCAAATGCGGCGAGGGGGTGCCGCGCCAGTCAGCGATGGTGATTCATGAATCCTCCCAGTAGAGAAACGAAGGGGCTCATCAGTCTTCCTTCCCTGATTCACCCCCTTCGACACCCGTTGCCCGCTTTGACGCACTATAGCCTGCTCCAAGTTTCGAGCAGCTAGTGTTTACATTGCAGGGTGTCAAACATATATAATATTGTTTAGATAGGCTGTAGTGGGTTTGATACTAGAGGGTATAGGGTTGTTTCTTGTACCTCTCGATCTTCCCTAGTGCACAATTTCACTCGACTCTCACATGGTATAGAGCGTAAGTTCCTACCAAGGGCCCACCTTTCTTGACTTTTTTTTGTTAGCTGCCCGTCGCGGCCCCTCCCTAGCCCGTCGCGGCCCCTTACCCGCCTGTTGCGTCCTCCTACCTGCCCGTCGCGGCCTCTTACCCGCCCGTCGCGCCTTAGCCGCTCGTCGCGGCCCCTCCCTAGCCCGTCGCGGCCCCTCCCTAGCCCGTCGCGGCCCCTCCCTAGCCCGTCGCGGTCCCTTCGCCGCCCGTCGCGGCCCCTTCGCCGCCCGCGGCCCCTTACCCGCCCGTCGCGGCCCCTTACCCGCCCGTCGCGGCCCCTTAGCCGCCCGTCGCGGCCCCTTAGCCGCCCGTCGCGGCCCCTTAGCCGCCCGTCGCGGCCCCTTAGCCGCCCGCGGCTCCTTACCCGCCCGTCGCGGCCCCTTACCCGCCCGTCCCGGCCCCTTACCCGCCCGTTGCGGCCCCTTAGCCGCCCGTCGCGGCCCCTTAGCCGCCCGCGGCTCCTTACCCGCCCGTCGCGGCCCCTTACCCGCCCGTCGCGGCCCCTTACCCGGTCTGTCGCGGCCCCTGGCGGCCCCCCACGCCGCTCTTTCGCAGCCCTGCAGCAGCCGCCACTGGAACAGCCGCCCCTGCAGCAGCCGCCCCAGTCCCCTGCGGCAGCCGCACCTGCAGCAGCCGTCCCAGGCCACTGCAGCAGCCGCCCCTGCAGCAGCCGCCCCTGGCCCCTGGAGCAGCCGCCCCTGCAGCAGCCGCCCCTGGCCCCTGGAGCAGCCGCCCCTGGCCCCTGGAGCAGCCGCCCCTGCAGCAGCTGCCCTTGGCCCCTGGAGCAGCCGCCTCTGCAGCAGCCGCCCCTGGCCCCTGGAGCAGCCGCCCCTGGAGCAGCTGGCCCCTGCAGCTGCCGCGGAGCCCTCGCCCTGCAGTGGTGCCGGCCTTGCCGTTGCAGCCGTCGTACGCCTAACTTTCTTGCCACTGGTGAGCACTGTCCTGCCCGTACTGCTGTTACTGCTGCTCCTGCTGCTACTGCTCTTTCTACTCCTACTGCTGCTAGTGCTGCTACTGCTGCTCTTGCTGCTACTGCTGCTACTACTGTTCGTGCTGCCCCTACGGCTCCTCCCCTCTCTACTGCTCCTGCTGCTCCTGGCGTGGCCAGATGCAGCTCCAGCGCCGTCCGCGTGAGTCCCTCACGCCCCCACAGCTTCATGAGTGGTACGCTCGCTGGGGTTGTCGGGGTGGCCGTCGTGGGAGTCGTTCTGGCGTGAGTAGTTTCGGGGCTTCTTGTAGTGGCCAGGTGCAGCTGCAGCGTCGTGTGCGCGCGGTCCCTTCGCCCCCGCAGCTTCATGAGTGGTACTTTCAGCGGGGGGGGGTCACGGGGTTCTGCTCGCTGCCCGTATGTCATTCGCACTGGTGCTCGGACTGGCCAGCCTTGCGGGACGTTTGGTCACACAGAGTCCCGCTGCTTCGCCAGTCTGAGCGACGCCTGGCGTACGGAGTTTGGCGACGCGGCTGAGCTCCCCGACTGGGTGGAGCTGCGCCGGCGGAGGGTAGATATCTATGCTCTTGACTTTGATGCTATCCTCACTGCCATGTATGCATTGTCTACTAGTGATGTCGGTGACTGTTCCCTGAGTGTTCCGCCCGACCCGGGCGGTGCAGCTGCTGCTCTAGGTGCTAGTGAGTCTGCTGCTCCAGGTGCTAGTGAGTCTGCTACTCCAGGTGCTGGTGAGTCTGCTCTCTCAGGTACCACGTCTGCTCCGGCGTCGCACACTTTCACCCTTGACTCGGGTGCTTCCCGCTCCTTCTTTCGCGACTGCACCACTCTCACGCCGCTCAGTCGGCCGGTTGCGGTCTCCCTGGCAGACCCCTCTGGGGGTCCTGTCCTTGCTCACTACTCCACTGTTCTGCCGTGTCCAGCGGTCCCGTCTGGCTCCCTGTCCGGTCTTTACCTCCCCTCGTTCTCTACGAACTTGGTGGCGGGTGCTGACCTACAAGATGGGGGAGTTGACCAGTTCACTCCTGCGCGTCAGCGGGTGACCCACTGCACGTGTGCTGACACGGGCCGACACTTGGCCACGTTTACTCGTCGGCCGGGGTCGAGCCTGTACACACTCACTACTGAGTCTCCCCCGGTTACTGCTCCTGGTCAGGTAGCTGCGTCCGGTCAGGTGTTTGCTGCAGCGTCTCGGTCTGGTCCTGAGTCTGCCCCCTGTTCGTGTCGCCTCCTGTCCCACGAGACTCTTCTCTGGCACCACCGCCTTGGTCACCCCTCCCTGCCTCGTCTCCGAGGCATGGCCTCCCGTGTCCTTGTCTCTGGTCTCCCCCGGTCTCTCCCTCCCCTTCCTCCGGGGCCTGCCCCTACCTGCGTTCCCTGCGTCGAGGGGCGGCAGCGCGCCGCTCCTCACTCCTCCGAGTTTCCGCCGACAGAGGCTCCGCTGCAGACTCTCCACATGGACGTGTGGGGCCCAGCCCGCGTCCGTGGACAGGGTCACGAGCGCTACTTCCTGCTGGTGGTTGACGACTACTCGCGTTACACCACAGTCTTCCCCTTGCGCCGCAAGGATGAGGTCACTGAGGTGTTGATCGACTGGATCCGCGCTGCTCGTCTCCAGCTCAGGAAGTGCTTCCGCTCTGACCTTCCTGTTTTGCGTCTGCACTCCGACAGAGGTGGGGAGTTTTCCTCCGGCCCTCTGCGAGCCTTCTGTCGTGCGAGGGGCATCCGCCAGACGTTCACGCTTCCGGCTTCTCCAGAGCAAAATGGGATTGCTGAGCGCCGCATTGGCATGGTCATGGACGTCGCTCGTACGTCCATGATCCATGCGGCTGCTCCCCATTTTCTGTGGCCGTTTGCGGTTCAGTACGCGGCGCGTCAGATCAACCTTCAGCCCCGGGTCTCCATGCCGGGGACCTCCCCCACTCTGCTGTGGACGGGGAAGGTTGGCGATGCGTCTGCGTTCCGTGTCTGGGGATCTCGGGCTTTTGTCCGAGACTTGTCTGCGGACAAGATGTCCTCCCGTGCTGTTCCCTGCGTCTTCCTTGGCTTCCCCCCTGACGCGCCTGGTTGGCAGTTTTACCACCCCACCTCGCGCCGTGTTCTGTCCTCCCAGGACGTCACGTTTGACGAGTCGGTTCCGTACTACCGTCTCTTCCCCTACCGCGCTGCCCCCCTCCCCCCCCCCGCCGCTCTTCCTTACGCCAGGTCCCCCCCCGGTAGACCCCCTCCCCCCTCAGGGTCCTGCTCCTTCAGGTGTGTCTCAGGTAGACCCCCCCCCCTTGGCTGAGCCTTTGGAGGTCACTTCCGACACCTCTGGCCCACCCGAGGGGGGTGACGCTGCTGCTGGCGCCCCGTCGGCCTACCGCCGCGCACCACGCTTGGAGACCCCTCCGGGGTTCCCCCCGCGACCTTCTTCACCGCCTCTGCAGCCGGTTACTGTTGACTCTGGTGCTGCTGGGGGTGGTGCTCCTGGAGGTGCTGCGTCTGGGGGTGCGGAGTCTGGGGGTGCTGAGCCTGCGCGTGAGGAGCCTGGAGGTGCTGAGCCTGGGGGTGCTGTCTCTGTGGGTGCTGAGCGTGTGTGTGCGGAGTCTGGGGGTGCTGAGTCTGGCGGTGAGACGCTTGAGGGTACTGGGACTGCTGGTGCGCGGCCTACTTGGAGTGGCCGCCTTCGTCCGCGTGTGCCTCTCACCACTCAGCAGCTGCACGACTGGTACGGTCGCCGTCAGCGTCGCGCTGCTGGAGCCCGGGACTCTGCTGCTCGAGGTACTGGAGCTGCTGGGGCTGGGGGTGCTGGTTCTGGGGCTGCTGCTGTGGGAGACGCTGCGGCTGGAGACCCTGGGACTGGAGGTACTGGTTCTGGGGGTGCTGCTGCGGGAGACGCTGCGGCTGGAGACCCTGGGACTGGAGGTGCTGGTTCTGGGGGTGCTGCTGCGGGAGACACTGCGGTTGGAGACCCTGGGACTGGAGGTGCTGGTTCTGGGGGTGCTGCTGCGGGAGACACTGCGGTTGGAGACCCTGGGACTGCAGGTGCCGGTTCTGGGGGTGCGGCTGCTGGTGACGCTGGTTCTGGAGCTGCTGGCGCTGGAGGTACCGGTTCTGCGGCTGGAGCTTCTGGAGCTGCTGGAGGCGCTGGAGCTGCTGGAGGTGCTGGAGCTGCTGGAGCTGCTGGTACTGGTGCAGCTGCGCCGACACGACTGTTCTTCGCTCCGCCGTCTCCGTCGTCTCTGCCGCCGCCTGACTCTGCTCTTCGTCAGGTTGTTACTCTCCCGTCGTCTACTGGTCTTCCGTTACAGACTGGCTCACCGCTACCTGCTCCCTCTCCTTACACTGATTAGACAGGCAGTCCTGCTACGCGTCGTGAGCCTGCGTTGCGTCCTGTCTCGCCTGTTCGTTCTGGTCGTCCCGTTCGTCGTGTCGCTCGTGCGCGTCAGCCGGCTGTCCCCAGCGCACACCTTGTTGTCCGTCGTCCTTCCTCTGCTCCGCAGCCTGTTCCTCTGCCGTCTCCCCCTGCGTCCTCTCTGCCTGCCGTTCCGGACCCTGAGTCTGACCGGTTTCGTACTGAGCACCCTACTGACACTCGCCTCCTAGCCACTGTTGTCACTGACCCGTCGTTTGAGTCTTCTGCTGCGTCTGCCTTGGTCGCTGAGCTTGTTGACTTTGCTGCTGCCTGTCGTCTAGACTACGCCGCTAGTCTTGTTGCTGAGTCTGAGTCTGTCTGTCCTCCGTCCGTCGGGGGTGAGTGTGCTCTTAGCACGGACGTCCTTGAGGACAGGCAGGAGGAGTTCCAGTGTCTTGCTGCTGCTTTACCTCATCTTGTGTCCTCGCTACTTGCCCCTGAGGGAGACCCGGATGCACCAGACATCCCAACTCCGCGTTCTTACGCAGAGGCGATAGAGGGTCCCTACTCCTCTCAGTGGCAGGCAGCCATGGACGCAGAGATGGCTTCCTGGAAGTCCACAGGTAGCTACGTTGACGAGGTTCCCCCACCTGGGGCGAACATCGTCAGTGGCATGTGGATTTTCAGGGTGAAGCGGCCGCCGGGTTCTCCGCCTGTCTTCAAGGCGCGTTACGTGGCTCGAGGCTTCAGTCAGCGGCAGGGAGTTGACTACTTTCAGACCTTCTCTCCCACCCCGAAGATGACTACTCTTCGGGTGCTGCTACACATAGCCGCTCACCGTGACTACGAGCTTCACTCTCTTGACTTCAGCACAGCCTTCTTACAGGGCAGCCTGCACGAGGAGATCTGGCTGCGTCGCCCACCTGGCTTCACTGGGACGTTTCCTCCTGGCACCCAGTGGAGCCTCCGGCGGCCGGTCTACGGTCTCCGCCAGGCACCGCGTGAGTGGCACGACACACTGAGGACTACGCTTGCGGCTCTTGGGTTTGCTCCTTCTACTGCCGACCCGTCGCTGTTTCTGCGCACCGACACCTCTTTGCCGCCGTTCTACATCCTCGTGTACGTCGACGACTTGGTCTTTGCTACAGCTGACACTGCTGGACTCGCCCACGTGAATTCCGAGCTGCAGAAGCGACACACGTGCACAGACCTGGGTGAACTGCGCAGCTATCTTGGCCTGCAGATCACCCGAGACAGAGCACGGCGCACCATTACACTGTCTCAGTCACACATGGTGCAGCAGGTCCTTCAGCGCTTCGACTTCACGTACTCCTCGCCTCAGGCCACTCCTCTGTCTACTCGCCACTCGCTCTCAGCTCTGCCTTCGGATGAGTCCGTAGAGCCGAGTGGCCCGTACCCAGAGCTTGTTGGCTGCCTCATGTACCTGATGACCTGCACACGACCTGACCTTGCATACCCTCTTAGCATCCTGGCACGCTATGTTGCTCCTGGGAGACACCGACCAGAGCACATGGCTGCAGCGAAGAGGGTGTTGCGCTACTTGTGCAGTACGTCGGGCATGGGGCTAGTGCTTGGAGGGCAGAGTCCAGTGGTCCTCACTGGTCACGCAGACGCTTCTTGGGTTGACGACCTGGCTACTCAGCGGTCGTCACAGGGTTACACCTTCAGCCTTGGTTCCGGCTCTGTTTCGTGGCGGTCTACCCGCTCGTCGTCTGTTCTCAGCTCTAGCTGTGAGGCTGAGATCTACGCAGGAGCCATGGCTGCACAGGAGTTACGCTGGCTTACCTACCTGCTGACTGACCTGGGAGAGCCGCCTCGTTCTCCTCCAGTCCTGTACGTAGACAACAAGGCAATGCTGGCCTTGTGTCGGGAGCACAGACTGGAGCACAGAACGAAGCACATTGCTCTCCGCTACTTCCTTGCACGTGAGCTGCAGCAGCGTGGTCAGCTGCGCCTTGCTTACGTGGCCACTCGGGCCAACACTGCTGATATCTTCACCAAGGCACTTCCGCCTGGTGATCATCAGCGTTTCTGTACGATGCTAGGTCTTGTGCCCACTTGGCCTCTCCTGCTCACTTCTTGACCTTGTTTGTACTGTGGTTTCTATATACCTGCTCTTGCTTGTTTGCCTTTATATATAATCATGCATGTGAACTGGCCTTGTGGCCTTGACCTTGTGCTCAGATTTGTGGTGACGTTGTGATCCACTCTGAGCTTGCTTGCTTGACTGGTCTTGTGGCCTCTAGGTCTTCCCCACTTTGCCTATGGGGGTGTGTCAAACATATATAATATTGTTTAGATAGGCTGTAGTGGGTTTGATACTAGAGGGTATAGGGTTGTTTCTTGTACCTCTCGATCTTCCCTAGTGCACAAGTTTCGAGCAGCTAGTGTTTACATTGCAGGGTTGAGTAAAAGAGTTTGTAACCTTTACAGGTGTGGTTGTTTATGTGTCATGAGTTGTAATAAAAAAGAGCACATCGGATGTCAATATAGAGAAACGATTACAACCGCTGACAATGAAGCGATACCTAGGAAAAAAACTATGAGGGTCCTAGCTAGGCGGGGCGGGGGCCTCGGACGGTCATTTTGGTGATGGTCTAGGTTAAGGTTAAGTTTATATTAAGTTCGTAACCATGTACACTGTACAGCAAAGCAGAGAACCAGCTGGATGATGGTCTAGGGCTACCACTTCGCAAGGCGATGCGGGTTAGCTTCAGGGGGGCAAGGTGAAAATGTTGGAGTTGTATTTGTTGTAGCGTGAATCCGCTAAGGAATAGGGGATTTCTTACGAAGACAAAGGAGGGAAGGGAAGCCAGCCAACAACTACCATACTATCCCTTCACTTTCTTGGCCTTCCCGCAGAGTGCATGCGCGTTGTTCTCGTGCGCAACCCTCGTGTAATAGCCAGACGCCTTGAATCCATCGTCAATCGATGCACGTAGCTGAGCTAGAGACCCCGGTCCTAGAGTCGATGTGGACAGGAAACTGTAGCGCTTGAGGCGGCCTGTTTTGTCACTTGTGATGTTTGTCCAGTCTGTAGGGCCGGCTAGTAAGGATGCTCCAGTGCAGTCCTTTCCCTCGGTTAAGGTTGGCGCCTTTCCTCCCGATCTAATTTTTAAGACGGAGAAGAAAATCTTGATATAATAAGTTGTTGCTGAGTACCTGCAAGCGAAGGGGAGAGGTGGACGGAACAAGGTGTGGAGAGGGGAAATGGGGACGGAACAAAAGGGGGAGGGATAGAGATGGAGACAAAACACGGTGAAGAGTAAGTTGTTGCTGAGTGCCTGCAGCAAGTAAGGCATGTCACAGACGGACGGAAGTGGTGTGAGGGGAAAGGAAGGGTGTAAGTGGGGCACGAGGGGCCGGGGGGCGGGGGGGGTGGGGGGGAGAAGGGGGGGGGAAGGGCGGGGGGGTACAGACGGAAGTGCCTTTTGAGTCGGCTCAAAAGGCAGGACGAAGACAGAAGTTATCGGAATACAATGTTGTTGCTGAGCTGAATGCTTGTTTCTAGATGAAACAAATCCGACATTTCGTAAGCAAGGCACAGACTGAAATGGCGCGAGGGGGAGAGGAGGGGGTGGGGGAGTCGGGGGGCGCGGGCGGGGGGGTGTTTGAGGGGGGAAAAGGGGAAAGTGGGTGGGGATGGGTTCTTTCCGGCACAGCCGGGAGCTCGAATAAGTCCCTGGGTACTTGCGCGAAATAATAGCAGCAGCAGATGGAAATATTTCTGGAAAAAACCACAGAAGGGCGCACCTCACGATATTTGTGACATAATTCTCCCGATGCGACATTGTCACCAACCACCTTCCCTTTGAGTGTAATGGGACAAATTTCTTGAGTCGACTTAAAGATAGAAATTGAACAAGGACGCACCTCACTATCTTGGTGACATATTTTCCCCGTGCGCCTTTGTCGCCGATCACCTTCCCATTGAGTCTAGTGGGACGCAATTTTGTCACGTACTTATCTGGCAACAAAATTGGCACGGATGGGGGCGCATGAGAAAGGACGAGGAAGGACAAGAGCGATTGTGCGGAGGTGGCCACAACTCGGTGCAACTCGGTGCACAGCAGTGCTTCCGTCTGCTGCTGGTAGTTCTGTTAGCAGTAGGAGAATTGGTAGTGCCGCCGGTGTGGCGCTTTTGAGGCGCCTCAGAAAAAGTTTGAGTGCAACCTGGTGCAACTCGGTGCAACCTGGTGCAACTCGGTGCAACCTGGTGCAACTCGGTGCAACCTGGTGCAACTTGGTGCAACTCGGTGCAACTCGGTGCAACTCAGTGCACTACAGTGCAAGTGCTTCCTTCTGCTGCTGGTAATACTGGTAGCAGTAGGGAGAATAGGTAGTACCGCCGGTGTGGCGCTTTTGATGCACCTCCGAAAAAAAAATGAGGCGCCGCAGAAACTTTTGGGGCGCCTCAAAAGCAGTTGGGGAAGGGAAGTGGCAGTACCGCCGGAGTAGTGACAACTAACAAGAGGCAAAAGAGCGCTGCAGTGCAGACACTTACAGACTGTTCTCCCTTTCCACACCAAGGGCTTGGCCTGAGCAGCGGGCGCCGTGGTTGAAACGCCGCCGTGCAGTGCAGAACGTGCGAGGAGGAATGGCAGGACGATTGGGGCAGATTCGACGGCAGTGAGGAACGCCGCACCTGACGGGGAGAGCAGCGCAGGAGGGAAGCATTATGAGGGGCACATGAGCTGACTTCTGTGTGGACTCAGAAGTCACACGGGGCAGATGCGACGGCCATGAGGAACGCCGCACCTAACGGAGAAAGCAGTGCAGCAGGGAAGCATTATGAGGGGCACATGAGCTGACTTCTGTGTGGACTCAGAAGTCACCCCGGGCAGACGCGACGGCCGTGAGGAACGCCGCACCTGACGAAGAAAGCAGCGCAGGAGGGAGCAACATGACGGGCGCACGAGAGAGCATCGAGAGGGGCATACGAGGGAGCAATTTTGAGTCGACTCAAAAGTCAACGCCGAACCTGACGGGGAAAAGCGCACGAGGGAGCACCATGCGGGGCGCACGAGAGAGCATTGTGAGGGGCGATGGAGGGAGCATCAGGAGGGGCGCACGAAGGAGCATGATTATCAAGACGAGGGGCGTCCGGACACGACGAAACGTGCCGCCCGAGCTAACCTGGTTGGATCCTGACGTGGCAGCAGCGTACCCAGTGCCACGCCCACGGAGTAGGAGAGCAAAGGCACTCGATCAATCAATGAATTGTTTCCTTTCCAAAAGTCATAGGGGCAAAGGCAGTAAACGCACACTCGATCGATGAGTCCTTTCCTTTCCACGGGTAACACGAGCATTAGAAGTCCAAAGGGCTCGCAGAGAGAGAAGGACAGAAGGGCTTACTACAGAGCAGGACGAAGGCGACTCGGAGAGGCGTTGGCGCGCGCTCCATGCCGGTCCCCAACGTGGATGGAAATCGTACTCTACGTGACTCACGCTGGGCCCCCTCCGATCCAACGTAGACCGTGGATATGCTGATAAGATGTGAAATCACTTATGAGAATTCTCAATAGTGAGGTCCCCCTCCAACTTAAACCGTGGATGTGCTGATAAGATGTGCTGTACTGTAACGCTGTCACGCACGGCAGCTCTCGTCGCCGCGTATCGTTACCCCGTGGGCGGCGTCGGCCGAACTATGCGACGAGAGCTGAAACGGAAGGGGCGCCAGAGCTGACGTGGAAGGGCCGCCACGATGGCTCGATCCATCAGTCTAGAACTATCCGTGTGGATGAATAACCTTTCCGTAGATAGGTTATTCAAATGCTCCGAGGCTAGGGCTTCGGTTTGGGGCCTTCGAGGGCGTTGCGCGAGACGGGCCATGCGGTGCGAGGGACAAGGGGTGCCACCCATCCAGCCGCCCAGTTGACCCTCCCAAAACGGAGAGGCCGGCTCTTCTGCGCCTGCGAGGATGGAAGGGCCTAACTGCCTGTCGGTAAAGAATCTTTCTCCGATACAGCACAACCCGTTCAAGGTTAATAATAATCGACGGTACGTTTGCAGAGTTCAGGAAATATCGGGGCTTGTGATTGCCACTTTCCAGCTAATCTTCGGCCCCGATTTGATCTAATCCCTTTGAAGTTTGCGAGCGAATCTCGCTAGTGCGTTGTAACATATTCGCAGCATTTCTAACCTCTTCGCTGACACTTGTGCAGCTTGGGAAGGGGTTTGTGCGGACACAATGGTTCGAACATCGTCTACCAAACCAAGCCCACAAACGACAAGACCCTTGCCAGAAACGATTAGCCGGTTTGAGGGCCCGAACCAGTTAGTTTTGGCTTGGATGAGCCACACCGTGCACCACATTTGCTTTGCTCCCCAACATCACCTGCTGTGGTATGGCCAAACCAGCTCTAGCCTCAGTAATTGGTTGGAAATTGCAAACCTGCTTGGCTGGGCCAAATATGGCAGCTGTGGGCAATATTCAACGGCCTGCCAGCTGGTCGCTGTCGCTTTGCGCTTTCCTGATGTCAGGACACCAAGTTACCTGATGGCGGCAACATCGTGAAACCTCGCAAACTGCTCGTCCAGTCCGCTGGGTGGCGTGATCGTCGCCCTGCTTATCATTTCAAGTGTGTACCAAAATTGTGGTGTATTAATTTCTTGCAGTTTAGTGTGAATAGCGGTCAATCAGTCTAATCGTTTCAACCTATAGCTCGATATCTCTTACCAACACTTCTGAAGGCATCGGACATTTTGCCCTGTAATTAGGACTTCCAATTCTGGAGAACTTCAGAGGACAAGTGTCCAACAGTGCAAGAACGAAAACAAGAACCTTCTTTCTTCGGCCCCCTTCTAGTCATCAGTAGGGGCTTGTACGGGGGGTAGCACAAAAACCAGTCGGTCATAATCCGCTGAGTGAGCAGAGCCCCTAGTTTCTAGTTCAGTGGTACGATACGAGTGCACGATCGAAGTGTAGTGGCAATACTGACAGAGCTGCCATTGCTGCCTTTGCTGTCACTGACGATCCCTTATTGCTGCGATTGCTTTTACTAAACCAGGCTGCAATTGCACAGCGGGAGGTGTTGTGATACGATGCTTAGATCATCGGGTAATTTCCTAGAGCGTCTCGGCTTTCGTTAGCGCTGAAGTCTTCCATTACCCTTCTGTTCCCATTAGACGACATTATCTCGTAATGCTAACATATTAACGAGTAGCTTAGTCATCAAAACCTCCTAAATTAACTTCCTAATGCGACTGCAACCATGGGCCTTCTCTCACTCGGAAGAAAAAGGCCTCCGACGGGGAAAAAGGCCGATGATGACGTGTCAGACACCGATCCGATATCAGCCCCAAGCCTCGCCACGACAGGACCGGGTAGTTCCTCTCGAGACTCTTCCCCAGCCAAACCGTCCGCCGCGTCAGGAGACGCGAGCAGGACGGGAGTTAAGGACGTGCCTCGCCGGCCGGGTTCTGCCGCGGCGAAAGAAGCGCCTCACACGGTGAACATCCTTAAAAAGACGTACGAGAACGTGCAAGATTTTTACGTCATGGGGAAAGAGTTAGGTCGCGGGCAATACGGCGTGATCCGGCTGTGCACGGAGAAAGCGACGGGGTTGTCGCTGGCGTGTAAGAGTATCAATAAGGCGAAGCTGGCGGGGACGCGCGAGGTGGAGGACGTGCAGAGGGAGGTGAAGGTGATGGAGCTGCTGAAAGGCCACCCCGCCGTGATCGAGCTGCGCGCGACTTACGAAGACCAGAAGGTACGACAATAGACACGCGAGCGAATTATGGGTTTGCGTCAAACGAGTACATTTAGAGCTGCTTAACGCCATTGCCATCCCGCCGCGATCGACCTTCGCACGACGTACGCGAGAGACAGTGATGTACGCGAACGCGAGCGATTATTAGGTCTATGAGCGAGTACGTGTAGGAAGCTCCTTAAAGACCGTCCAGCGGTTATCAATCTCCCTGCGACGTTTCAACACCAAAGGGGGGGTTTCTGATACTTATCGTTTGAGTGAGGATTGACAGAAAGGGTAACAAGAGGGTGGTGCCTGTTAATTGCGTTTGTTTCCCGCTTAATTTTTCCGTCTCAGCTTTTAAGGACGCTCACAATAAATTAGGGTTCCAATTCTCTCGCCGTCCTTACCGCTTCTTACCTCTTTCTCTATTTTATTTATTTTTCCGCTTTCTCGTTTCTGTGTCTCGTTTTCGTCTCAGCGTGTGCACCTAATCATGGAGCTCTGCGAAGGCGGCGAACTTTTCGAACGAATTAGCAAACGAAAGCACTACCCGGAGAACGAGGCGGCGGAGGTTTGTCGCACGCTCGTGTCGGTCGTCGCGCACTGCCAGTCGCACGGACTCATGCATCGCGATCTCAAGCCCGAAAACATTCTGCTCGTCAGTCAATCGTCGCACACGCGAGTCAAAGTCGTCGACTACGGCCTCGCGGTTTTCGTCAAACCAGGTGAGCAGCGTTTTCGTTAGCTCGAGTTACACGTTTTCAAGCTGAGTGGAATTTCGCGAAACATTACCAAGGCTGATCGTCTGGCAAACGTCTCGGGACGTGATTCGGCGTCGTCACTTTCGAACATATAATTATGACGGTTGAGTGTATCAAGCACACGTCGCCAGTCTGGAATTGGCCTAACTTCTAACGCATACGATTTTTGAAACATGTTGATTTTTGGAACATAGTAGTTATTGGATCACTTACTAAAGACTAATGCTGTCCTGAACAACTACTACGGGTTCGGTAGGAGCGTCCTCTACATCCTGCTGTGCGACCTGCCCTCTGTACCTCCTTCTCACCCCTTTCCACCCCTTTCCACTCCTGTCCACCGCTTCCCATCGCTTTCCACAGCCTCCCACCGATTTCTACCGATTTCCACCATTCCCCACCACTTCTCACCCTCCTTCACCGTTATCCACCCCTGGTGACAGGCGCGAAGCTGACGACAATGGCGGGCAGCGCGTACTACCTAGCGCCAGAGGTGCTGAACAACTGCTACGGGCTGGAGGCGGACATGTGGAGCGTGGGGGTGATCCTCTACATCCTGCTGCGCCCCCTACTCCACCTCATTTTAACCCCTCTCCACCTCTTCCCACCGCTCCCCACCACTTCCCACCACCTCCCACCCTCCGTCACCCCTCTCCACTCCCTGATTCAGGCGCCAAGCTGACGACAATGGCGGGCAGCGCGTACTACATAGCGCCAGAGGTATTAAACAATTGCTACGGCTTGGAGGCGGACATGTGGAGCGTGGGGGTGATCCTCTACATCCTGCTGTGCGGGCTGCCGCCCTTCTGGGCGGAGAAGGAGGAGGGCATCTTCGCAGCCATCAAGACGGGCAAGATCGACGTGTTCACGGGCGTGTGGGAGGGCGTGTCTCAGGACGCTAAGGACTTGGTGATAAAGCTCCTCACCAGGGACCCGTCCAAGCGGATCACTCCAGAAAAAGCTCTAGGTTAGTGGTGGGTGGGGGTGGGAGGATGGGCCGTTTGGGGGGGGGATGGCGTGTTCACGGACGTGTGGGAGGGCGTGCCGCAGGACGCGAAAGATTTGGTGATTAAACTGCTGACGAGGGATCCTTCGAAACGTATCACCCCAGAAAAGGCGCTAGGTGAGTGGGCAGAAGGGGTGGGGAGGGGCACTGGATGAATGGGTGTAGGGTTGGAGGGAAGGGGGGGAAGTGGGAGGGGAATGAGTGCCCTTCTGGGCGGAGAAGGAGGAGGGCATCTTCGCGGCCATCAAGATGGGAAAAATTGACGTGTTCACGGGCGTGTGGGAGGGCGTGTCGCAGGACACAAAAGACCTCGTTATAAAGTTGCTTACAAGGGACCCATCCAAGCGAATCACACCAGAAAAAGCGTTAGGTGAGTGAAGGTTGAATGTGGGTGGGTATGGGTATGGGAGGGAAGGGATGCTTTGAACTGGATGGAGGGATGGGAGGGGAATGAGTGCCCTTCTGGGCGGAGAAGGAGGAGGGCATCTTCGCAGCCATCAAGACGGGAAAAATTGACGTCTTCACGGGCGTGTGGGAGGGCGTGTCGCAGGACGCTAAGGACCTCGTGATTAAGCTGCTGACCTGGGACCCAGCCAAGCGCATCACGCCGGAAAAGGCATTGGGTGAGCGGGGGGAAGAGAACGGCTGGGGACAGGGCGCTGGATGGGTGGGTGTGTGGGTGGGAGGGAATGGGGGGAAATGGGGGGGAATAAGGGGGAAGTGGGGGGGGAATGAGTGCCCTTCTGGGCGGAGAAGGAGGAGGGCATCTTCGCAGCCATCAAGACGGGCAAGATCGATGTGTTCACGGGCGTGTGGGAGGGCGTGTCTCAGGACGCTAAGGACCTCGTTATTAAGCTCCTTACCCGGGATCCCTCAAAGCGGATCACCCCGGAAAAGGCGTTAGGTGAGTGAGTGGTGAAAGGGTAGGGGACGGGCAAGATCGACG